GGAGCGCGATGCGCCTGGTTCAGCACATGTGCACCCTGGCCGAGCCCCCCGCCCCGCGCGCCGACGGCTGCCTGGGGGCCGCAGGCCGCCGCCTCGTCAAGATCGCCGTGGTGGGCGCCAGCGGCGTGGGCAAGACCGGTGAGTCCCCGCGCGGGCGAGGGCGGCTCAACTCCGGGCGGGACGCGGGGAGATGGGGCCGTCCTCCCCCCACCCAGTGACCCGCTGCCTCCGGAGGGACCCGGCTCGTTGCCCTCACCCCCGCTCCAACAGAGGGAAGCCGGGGTGCAGCGTGGCCAGGCGACTTTCCGGGCACCCCTGGAACCACTGATATCGGGCCTGTGGGGTTTGCGACTCCCTCCTGGAGGTCTCAGGGTTGGGAAGACTAGTTGGCTGGAAGGTTAAGTGTGGCCCAGTGGGTGGGAGGGTGGGCCAAGGGACCCTCCCCACTGGGCAGGGCCATAATTTATGATGCCCCCGTTCCCTCATCTGGAAGAAGGCTCAGTGAGCCACAGGCAGGAATTTCACTCGGTGGCCGTCCATGCTGGGGGTGGGGGCGGGTGGAGGCCTACCCTGTCCAGGGCCAAGCTCTTCCCCTTCTTGTCTCTGCCCTGCAGCCCTGGTGGTCCGCTTCCTCACCAAGCGATTCATCGGCGACTATGAGAGAAACGTAGGTGAGGAGATGCACTGGAGGACACTGTCCTGTGCGAAGCCCTGCTATCCCTGTGTCCCAGGCAGACTGCTGCGGTGACAGCCTGAGCGAAGGGCTTGCCGTGTCCAGCTCTGCCCTCCACCCCCCTCCCTGGCTGCCATCTGGCCTCATTCCATTCCAAGCCCATTCATCATGTTATCAAGTGCCTGGAAGTCTTCCCCGTGGCATGTTCTAGCTGTGGGGACCCCGTGGGAGGCACTCTTTGTACTCCAGGGCCTCGCCCTTCAATGCTCCTGCAAAAGTCATAAAAAAGATGGCCCACTCCTCCCCGCCCCTCCCTCTCGGCTGGCTGCCTTTCAGAGGTGACCTTTCAAAGCAGAGGCCAGAGGACAGCAGTTGTAAACCTAAAGTTCTCTTTTCTTAACAAAGAAAAATAGCTAGATGGGAGAATTTGAGAAGTTATGAAGAAGTTCCGAATAAGTGAGAAGACGGGTATTTCAATCCCCCTGATAAAGAATAGGCACTGGGACGACTTAGGGCCTTTCTATCCACCTCTGTTCTAAATTGCTTAAATCTGGAGACTCCAGGCAGAGCCTGCAGGGGATTATGGGAAGTGAGCAATATGTAGAGTTGAATGTCTTCATGTCACATTTTTATGTGATAATGTTGGCTGTGTGTTTAATAACAATATTTGTTCACTAAGCCATTAACTGACGGACAAAGAATAATAAAGTGCTAGAATAAAACAAACCTCACATCAAGCGAATGCTCTAAAAATGAAAACTCCATTTAAGTGTAGATAAATAAGTTTTCAAAAACTTGCAAACATCCTGGTTTTAATACATCTATTAACATGGGTTTAAAATTGTAGTTGTTTTTTTTTAAAAATCTGTTAGCCCATTGAACAGAATTAAATTATAGCTTCCTGTTGTACACTGGTGCAGGCTACATTTTTTCCCCTAACTTAAAGAAACATATCTTACAATGTTTTAAGTCATACGAGAGAGAAGAACACCATCTTTTTCTGTGTCCTCATAGGTAATCTCTATACCAGACAAGTACAGATAGAAGGTGAAACGCTGGCTATTCAGGTTCAAGACACTCCAGGTGTTGAGGTGAGAAGCTCTGGGGCCCTGGGTGAAGGAGGATGGTTCACTTGTCCTCACAGTCCTTCTTGCTGAAGGGGAGAAATATGGGGGGTCCTGTCTAGACTGTGACCTATTTTCTGACATCTCAGTGTATCTAACTGTTGGCAAGCTCAGCCTGGATAATTGGGAGAGTTGGCTAAGGGTCAGGAGGAGCCGGCCCGGCAGAGAAGACCAAGTCAAGCACACTGGGAACTGGCGGTTTCCTTGCTGTGGTTAAAAAGCTCAGTTTATACACATGTGTCTTCAGCATTAAAAATCAGCCATGGAGATACGGACTCCAGATGCTTGGAGTTGCCTGTAGTGCCTGGAAAGTTACTCTACAGACAAAAGAGCCGTGCTAGTGGTTTTTCCCCCCAAACTGGGCAGCTATCCAGGTCTAAATGCTTCCAGCCCTATCTTTACTTCCCAGACTCACTGTCTAGCCAGCTAATTTCCCATTTTGTGCAGCTCCAAAGTCTGCGTGGAGTTCTCTGCAGGTCAGTTTTCTACTTGAGCGTGGCGGCTAACATGCAGCTGGGCTAATATGCTGTCAAGAGGACTGAATGAGGGGATAGGACTCTTCTGGCATCACTATGCAGGGCTCTTCTGCGTTGGGGACTCCCCCACTGGGCAGCCCTCAAACCCCCCCACCCCCTACTGCCCTGGTTTTCAGATCCACGAGAATGGCCTGAGCTGCAGCGAGCAGTTGGACCGCTCTATCTGCTGGGCAGACGCCGTGGTAATCGTGTTCTCCGTCACCGACGCCAAGAGCTACGAGCTCACCAGCCGACTGCACCAGCACGTGCGGCAGCTGCGCCCGGGCACCCAGCTGCCCGTGGCTGTTGTGGCCAACAAGGCCGACCTGCTGCACGCTAAGCAGGTTGACCCCCAACTGGGGCTGCAGCTGGCTGGCGTACTGGGCTGCCCGTTCTACGCGGTGTCCGTCAGTGAGAATTGCCACGACGTCTACACTGCCTTCCACGCGCTGTGCAAGGAGGTGCGGCTCAGACAGCCGCCTGGCACGCCTGAGAAGCGGCGGGCCTCCCTCATCCCCAGGCCCAAGTCGCCCAACATGCAGGACCTCAAGCGGAGGTTCAAGCAGGCGCTGTCTGCCAAAGTGAGGACCGTCACCTCTGTCTGAGGTGGGCGCCCTGGGATGGGCCTTCCTGCGTGCCTGACGAGCACTGCTGGTGGGGATTGGGCCAGAAAGGCCTGTGGGACTACTGCAGAGAGGGCATGGCTCTGAGCAGGGGACCGAGGTGATGTGGCTGGATGGAGCCACCAGCCACTCGCAGATGGGAATGCACGTCTTCTCCTTGGACGGGGCAGACACACTCTGCCTTGAGAGTGGGGCTAGCTGTGGCCTCCTGGAAACCCTGATAGGACTGACAAGTGATGGGATACACGAGTGCAGGATGAGTGGCTGTGAATGGGAGGGCAGGGGGTCCTGGGCTTGCCTGCCCCCTTTTTTCTTTTCTTTTCTGTTTCCCCCAAGAGGAAGAATTGCTTTTATCAGCACAATTTGGCCCCAGGCACGATTCCTACAGAATGCCTTTCTAACCAGCAGGAAACCAGACTTCTTTAAGAACAAGAAGGAAAAGGTTCCTGCCCCCAAAAGGGTCAAGTACATGGGCCAAAACATTCCACACACAGAAGTCGGGGAACTCACGGTGTGCAGGGTGTTCCTGACAGGGGTGGGTGTGCTCAGCTGGGTGTGTGGTCAGTGCTGGGAACTCAGACTCCTCAGCCTCAGACTTTGATTGGGAGACTGTAGAGTTCTTTGTTTTTTGGGGTTTTTTTTTTGACAACTGTTGCATCAGGTACAGAAAAACAAAAATGTGTCAGCTGGTTTTGGTGTGACTCGTGTATGGCAGTGACACAGGCAGCCTCTGGGCCGGGCCGAGCCTCTGGCCGAGACACCAGCACTGCCCCACAGCAAGTGGCTGGCATGGGACTGCCCCCAGTCCCCTACACAGATGCACTTTAAGCCACTCAAGCTTTGGCCTCCACTGTAATTAATTTATTTTATGTACAATAAACTCATTTTAAGAGAGCAGGCACCTGTCTTGGTCTGTATTGAAGTATTAACCTCCTGCCCTTGAGACAATGCGTGACCTGTGTTCTCTGATTACGGGCATGTGAGTTGACCCCCGCATTCTAGGTTGTCTCTGACTCTCAACAGTCCAGCGAGGCTCCATTTTGCAGGTGAGAAAGCAGGCGCAAGGGTTGAATGGCCTGGCTGGGGCCATGGCCTGAGCATATGTGCTGTGACTTGTTGCCTTGCGTCCAGGAGGACCAGTCATGTTTCCTTCATGGTCTCTGGGAGCCTTGGAAGGATGTTGATGACACACATCCCACTGCAAAGCCTCAAGCCCATCATGGCTGCTTTATATAAACTTTGTTTGGCAAACCTCTTTGCTGGGAAGGCTGCTTCTAGAAGACTCTTCTCATGGAAGTACTGATCTGGGGCCGTGCAGGAGTCAGGCCCATGGGGCCTTTCTGCATACATAGGAGCTCACACCACCAGACCTCGCTGCTTCCTCTGGACCTGGGAAGCCCCGTCTTCACGGTCAAAGTGTCACCCTGTGCATTCCTGTGAGTGGTGCGTTCACACACCAACTTAGCTTAGGATGGCCCTGTGAGGGCTGGGGTGCTGACATGCCTGACCGGAAGTGGTTCATGCAGTGGACCTGCTTCCCCACTTCTGACTGCACTCGGTGTTCTTGTTCCTTTACAGCAGGTCATAGGCGCCACAGGGCTGCATGTGAGTTGGGCCATGGGTGGGTTCCTGTGGGGTGGGCACATGTCTTGACCCCCAGGCTCCTGGTGATGCCAGCCCCTCAGGCATGCAGCTGGGCCTCTGGAAGGGGTGAGGTGGGTGGGCAGGCGAGAGGTCCCTGGGCTCAACTGCCCGTTCAAGGGTGACATGGGTGTCTCTGTGGGGCCACTCTCATTTCCATGCTGCCTCTTGCGTGGACGACATCCCCAATGAGAGGCTGGTGCCCATGTGCTGACCAAGGTTCCCCACAGGCTGGGATTCCAGGTGTGAGTCTCATGGGCGCGTGCTGCGGGCCCAGAGCCTAATTGCCACGTGGCTGCCTCCCTGTTCACCTGCCGAGCTATGCAGCTTCCCCCACCTGCCCCTGCCCTCACCATGGCCCTCACCTCCTCACTCCTTCCTCCCACCTCATCTCTGATGGACAGGCTGGAAGGGATCTCAGAGTTTCAGTCCATCCCTAGGGGGAAAGTGGGTAGTTCAAGGCCATGGGAGGGGGCAGGGAGAGATGGAGACGGAGACGGACAAAGAGAGATGGAGAGAGACACAGAGATGGAGAAAGAGAAACAGAAAAAGAGATGGAGAGAGAGAGAGAGAGACAGATGGAGAGAGACACAGAGATGGAGAAAGAGAAACAAAAAGATGGAGAGAGAGAAAGAGACAGAGACAGATGGAGAGATGAGAGAGAGAGACAGTGGGAGACAGAGAAAAAGACTTGCCTGTTTGTTCTAGAATGCCTGCGTTTCTCCTCTTCTAACTTTAGCTTTGTGATTATTGCTGTTGCTCGTTGTTATCATTAGAGAATCTCCTTCAATCCCTGGTTTTGTTCTGACATTTTTGACCTGCCACCTCCTGGCACAAGAAACAGCCCTTTTCCCTGGATAGTGGCACCCCCTGGTCCCCTGCAGGGGATGCAGGGATGTGTGTCTAGGCATGGGGGCGAGAGGGAGAGGGCTCAGTGGGCACTCGTAGCCTGTCCCTCGTGAGGATGGTAATGACATCACTCCATCTTAAAGGTGAAGAATGGGAGTTTAAAGGCCTGCTCAGGGCCGTGGGTGGGACGATGACTGCTTCTGTGTACTCTACACCTGCATGCGACCCTGTGGGAGGTGTCTGGAGTAACTGACGCTGCCGCACGTCTCCATGATTCCAAGTCTCCCACAGAAAAGGAAGGGGGAGACCTAACATGGGGAAGCACTGCCCCAGCTCTCTTGGTCGGGACTTCAGCCAGGTCCACCTGCACTACCACGTCCTGCTGATCCCTCTCTGCAGAGCCACGCGGGAGCCTGTCCTTCCCCAGCTGTGTCCCCATCCTGCTGTCTCCAGGGGCCCCTTGTTCTGGTGAAGAGTGGGATTTTGACATTCCTCTTGCACCGCAAGAGGGAGAGAACATGTGTCTTCTGGGCAAATGAACAAGCTCATGAGCCTCACACGTGAGTTGTGGTCACCTAGGGTCCCGCCTGTACCCCTGGGAAACGGGCCTGCCCAGCTCAGGCCCCTCAGGACTGGCTGAAAGGGAAGATGGAACTTGTCAGGTTGGACCCCCTGATGGTGATGGTTCCAGAAGGTTCCCGCTATCTCCACTGCTCAGTCTGAAAAGGGCAGGATTGGGGTCTGCAGACCCCCTTATCTGGTTTGTCTTTCTAAATCCCTTTTAGAACAGAGGCAGAGTCTCTCAGCTCCAACGGGAAGGCAGACTGTTTGATGCTGAGATGCAGTTTCTTGAAAAGGGTAAGATCAGTAAGTGGTCTTGGGGAGCTCGGTAGGCTTCCTTGCGATGGGGACCCCGTGGCGTGGAGGGTGGCTACACAGCCACCTGCAGTGCCCCAGCCCCTGGGATGGCTGCCGGCCACAGAGCCCCCTGCAGTGCTGGGCCTGTGGTGTCTGTGGACGCGGCCCCGGCAAGGTTCACCAAGGCAGACGTCAGCCGAGACCAAGTGTCGCACCTCTGTTGGCGGAGGGAGCCAATTTCTGGGGAGCCTGGCTGACATTTCCACATGCTTGTTTTGGCTCTGATCTGCTGGCGCTCAGGTGGGAACACTTGCACCCAGGCCCGAGAGAGGGGAACCAAGACCCTCCTCGGCTCAGCCCAGGAAGTCACCCCAGGTGGGATACACGCACCTAGGCTTAAGACAGGGGAACCAGGATCCCCTTGGCTCAGCCCAGGAGGTCACCTCTGGTGGCTGACACATGTATGATTTGTGAATGAGTCAGTGTCAGATTCAGCTACTTGGTGGCTGACTTCAATGGTGGAGAAAGTTCCCTCAGAGATGCATGTCCTCCCTCAGACGTGTGTTACTGAACAACAGTGACTCCTGTGTGCTTCATGGGCCGTGCTCTTAGCGCTTGACAGCTCTTAACCTTGATGCTCACCAAGCCCAGCAGGGTGGGTCCTATCAGGATCTAATTCTATGGTCAACTAAACTCAGGAGGAGGTGGGCTCAGAACCAATGATGGGCTCGGACAGGCTCCTGACCTCTGGCTGTCCTGCCCTGAAGTGTGTTGGGCCAGGGTGTCACTCCAAGGAATACAGCATCAGGGACAGGCTGCCTCGTTCACCACAATGGCTGGAATCTGGTACAGTGTCCGGCACAGGCAGGGACCCACTCAGTAGTTGAGAATCAATGAATGAATGAATGACTGAAAGAACGGACACAGGCTTGAGGCACATGACAGGTTACTTCTGATTCTTTTACTTTGGAAAGCAGGTCTCTCTGTAACCGTGAGAATTTCTTTTGGAGGCTGACCATTCCCTCCTTATCCAACTCCAGGACCCAAGAGCAGCAGAGCGAACAGGCACTGGCAGGCGCCTGTGCTTTAGCACCAGGAGGGAGCTGGTGTCCCCGGAGAACACATGGGCAGGGATGAGGACGCCTGGTCCGCGGCTCCCTGAGATGGCCTCGGGTCCTCCTAGCCTCACAGGTCTGCAGAAGGAACTGCATCTTTAGAGAATGGAGTTAGGACACAGGAGAGTGGAGGTATTTGCTTCCTCCACCTGGTTAATCCACACCAGAAACTGGTTTTCAGTTTGGTCTTTTCATTACAAATATCTCTAAGAAATGCCAGAAGTTTCTGCCAACTAGACATCTGCATGGGTCGTGTTCCAAGCAGTGTGTCTTCCTCAGAGTTCTTACGCGTTTCACTAGATGGTTTGGGTGTTTCTGTATGCTCAGAGGGAGAGTTTAAGCTTGTAGGAAAGAAAGCTTTATATTTCAATGGAAACTCAGACCCATGAAGTCTGCAAGGCAGTTGCTACAATCTGGATGCCCTGGGACCCAGTGTTGGGGGCTTCCATGGGCGGAAACCTTTTAGGCACAGATAGTCCTAGTCAACCTGTGTTCCCCGTCCCTGGCCCTGGCAGCCCCCTGTGAGCTAGCCAGGACAGCACAACCTTGGTGAGGGGAACCACGACTGGCAACATGCAGGTCACCAGCGCTGCCCTGGCCACCCCCCCGCCCCGGCTTCTCAGGACTGTTTGGAGCGAGAGAGACAGGAGGCCTCAGACCCGACCTGCCATGTCCCCTCCCCAGTGGCACAGTCATGACACCACATTCCCCAGCTCATTGCTCTAGATACAGACAACGTCCTGAGCAACCTCACACCAGAGACTCGTCACCAGCACTTGCCAAGGACTTTTATTTGGAATGAAGGAGCTCACGGGAGGAATTGTTGGTGGAAATGGCCACCAATCTGGCCAGCTGAAGACAGCTGGATCCCTTTGGAAAGACAGAAAACACATTTTTTTAGGCATCACAGCATCCAAGTTGAGCACCTTGTTGTGGGTTCTCAAGACCCCACCATGTAGCCGTTGCTGGCTTGGAGGCCCCTGGCTTGGAGGCTGTCTCGAAGGTGACACCAGCAGTTGTGGCGTTCTGGCCAGCAGGCTTCCCTTCCTAGCAGATTCTCAGATGCCGAGGTCTGGGTGCAGCCGGTCGGTGGCAAACAGCAGCTCAGGGACATCGAGGGGCCTCAGGAGCCGTGTGGACAGCACAGTGACCTGATGGGGAACAGACACAGAGTGGGCTGTCAGGAACGCCAGGTCAGGTTACTGGGGGGAGAAACAGACACAACCTATTTCTCGGGAGGACACGGAGGAGACTGAAGAAAAGGTGGAGGCCTAACTGAGTGTCCTGGGTGCCAACATCATGTGAGGATACTCGTGGGACGACCCGGCTGTGCCACTGACACTTTAGCAGCAGGTGCTAAACGTGGCTGAGGCCGGCATGCGGTGCCTTCGAGGCCGAGTCCTGCTGCTGCCTTGCTGCCGGATGGGACAGGGTCACATTTGCCCTGCTATGCAGCATTGACCTCCATGGAGACCGCTCTGCCGTGTAGTGATCTGACCTCCATGGAGGCCCCTCCACTGTGCAGCAACCTGTCCTCCATGGAGGCCTCTCCGACGGCAGGGGCACGGAAGGCACACCAAGAGGTGGTGCCCCAACTACCGGAGCGCGTTGTCAGGTTCTGGGAGCTCAAGAACCAGGTATGGGTGGGTGGCCCCTCCGATGGACTGTGGGGCATCTTTGTTCACGGCTCTCTCTACGCGGGCTGTCCTGTGCAGATCTTCCCTTGGGTGACTTGGTCTGTCGGGTCAGGGCCTGTGGAGCCTGCGGCCCGTTGGCGTCTGCAAAGTCCTTCTCCAGAAGGGGTCACACAGGGTGGTGGTCAGTCCATCCCATCCTCCTCGGGACACGATTTGCCACAGCGACTGGTATGACAGTACCAGTTCCCATGATGCGCCAGGCCTGCACATCCCCTCGCTGACACCATCTGACCCTCATGTTGTCTTAGGAACAGGGACATTCATGATTCCTCTTTTGCAGATGGAGGGAATGCAGTGCAGAGAGGCCCGGGTGCGGCCCTGGTACGTCCAGCAGGTGGAGGCTGCTCTCAGGCAGGCCTGTCCCGCCCACTCGCCCGCCCACCTGGACCTGGCACGGCCATCTTCCTCCATGGTCCACGAGGACCTGGGCAGTTTCCAGAAAAGGGGCACAGGGAGGGAGTGACGTGCGTGGAGGCAGGGGGGCTGGCCACGGCCCGCCGCTCTCTCTTCTCCTGGACTGCCATTCCCTCATCTTCTGGGAGGGGCCCTTCCAGCCACTTTCTCGCAGTTACAGGCTTCTGCCACCCCGGTCAGTGGCCAGAGTTGCATGGCCACGGAGTCCATGCCGGCATTGGGAGCCTGGCACATCCCCCACCTGGGGCCGGACTATTTGTGGTGTTGGGGGAGCCAAGACTTCTCCCACAGGCCACCGTCCCACATGGGTGCATCCCTCACAGTCACAGGCAGCCCGAGAGGAGGAAGCAGCCTGCTCGAGAGGGTGGTGGTGGGGGCACTGGTGGGCGACCATGGCCCTGGCTTCCCCGCTTTGCACCACCCTCGTCACTCGAGGTCTTTCTGGAGGACCTTGAATGCCTTTCTGTCTCCCTAACAGCAGACCCCTGAGTGCCATTCACGTTAAGTCTTCCTGTGAGCAGTTGGTGTCATCTCGAGGGACCTTCCCTGGCTTTCCTGTGGTACCCTCCCATGCCCTCTACCCCTGCCATGAGCAGAGCTTCTGTGGCCACCGTGGGTCACTCCTTGGGAGACTATGTTTCCCAAAAGCAGGGATATATCTGGTGTGGGCCTGGCTCTTCCTCAGCATGAAGGCGGCGCTGGGCATTGGGCAGATGTTCGAGACATGCTCATCATGTAATCAGCTGGCCCAGCCCAATGGGGCAACAGACTCACCGTACTTGTGTCCAGAAGACCCCCACAGAGCTAGAACAGGAGAGAGGCGGAGTGACAGTAACTTGCACAAGACAATGTAGTGTTAGTCCACAGCCCTGGTGCCCACCACGGGGTCAGTGTGGTCTGTGTGTCTTCCAGGAAAATGACTGCAGGAGAGCTGGTATCTCAGTTTCACCGAGTCAGTGGCCCGGCCGCTGCATGTCTGTCCAACTCAAGGGGAAGCTCGGCCATGGTGCGTATCATTCCAGTGCACAGGCAGGCCATCCCTCCTCTCACAAGCATGAGGTGATGCATGGGGACGAGTGACTCTCCTCTGTTCCCAGTGGCCTGCGGATCCTCCCAGGGCCTGGCAACTCTTTGGGGAGTTTTTGGGAAGAGGCTGACCTCCCAAGGTCCTCTGAGATGCCCCCTCTGCCGATGTCTGAGTATAGGCCGATGACCGTGAGGCCGCTGTGTACTCGGGGCCTCTGTTGCTAACAGAGGTCACAGGGCTTTGACAACGTTGGCATTTTCTCCTTTTAGACGGGGATTAACATGTCTGTCAGTGGTTACAATGCATCACTGTTCCGAAGAGCCAAGGGTTGGTCCACCGTGCTGGAGCAGTGAGCAGGGTGCTTTCAGATTTAGAAACATCGTGCTCAGAAAGGCAACTGCTCGTTAAACAGAACTTAACACTGCTGACAGAGGGGTGTTGAATGAGGCTGATTTACCAATGTATCAAGCACTTCACTAGCTGTGATTGTAACAGGCGATAGTAATAGCAGAATTGATCATAGCCAACACCAGTCGCTCCCTGCTGTGTGGACACGTGCAGTGGGGGTTGGAGCGGGATACAAAGGCCACGGCATGGCCAGGCAGCCAGTCCTCCCAGCACTGCCTCGGGCGAGCTTCCTGCAGACCATGAAGGGGGCTGCTTGCCATACACAGAGGTCATAAAGCTGTTACCACATGCCAGGAAGATGGTGCCCGTGGGCAAGTCTCACCTGGGGATGGGCAGGGAGGGGTGTCCAAGGCGCCCTGTGACCTGCCATGACCAGGCTGAGGCACATAACACCAGACTGCTGGGCGTCCCAGGAGGGCTGAGTCTCAGTTGCCCAGGGCCACACCAGCAGGATGGGGCCCCACGCGGCTCCCCCTTCCCCATTTTTCCCTCCTGATTCCTCACTCTGCTTCTTGGTATTGGCTCCGGGGAGGTAGCCGCTGTCTCATCCTCGGCTCAGGGCTGTCCTGGGAGCCACCCAGGAAAGGGCTTTATGTCTCGCAGGGTCAGTAGACTCCACTTCCCCCGTCAGAGCGCGTCGGGGCCAGGCTCTCCCTGGCTCCTGCTGGAAACCTCGAGCCCTCCTGCAGGATGGCATAGTGACTCTGGGGACAGCTGGTGAGCACGGGGCCGCCCTGACACTTCCAGCCAGTCACGGGGCTCACAAGCCTCAACTGACCCGAGACTCCCAGACCCCGCCCACATTCTGATGAGAAATGGAGGACTTTCCCCAGCATCACCCTAGTCCAGAGTGGGGGCAGAACTGAAATTCGGGCTGTGACACCCAAAGGCCTGTGCCTTAACCATGGACTAGTCCAGAGCGGGGTCAGAACTGGAATTCGGGCTGTGAGACCCAAAGGCCTGTGCCTTAACCATGGACTATGTGTGTCTTCACCATGGGCCATGTGTATCTTGACCACGGGCCACAGCGCAGTTGTCCCGTCTGGGTCCTGGGATGGTCCCTGGCAGGAGTACGGGGGAGGGGGAAACACGCCCACACTAGTCATGGTGTTGATTTCGTCCTTCCCAGATTCCTGCCCTGGCCTCTGCTGGCCTCAGTCGGGAGCTGGTCCTGGGAGTCACCACTGCACAAGCCAGGGCCGGGAGACGGTGAGGACTCTTGAGTAATTAGACACTGACTGGACCCAGAGCACACACGGCTTTAAGGAGGTGGGGAGTTACCTGGGAGGCCGGTGACTAGGGCAGGGCCTAGAAGGGGAGCCCCTCCTACCTGGCCTGGTCTGTAGATGTAGTAGGTAACAGCAGAGGCTCTGCTTGGGGATCGTGTGCTCAGTGGGAGAATGTAGCCCATGTGGCGGTTTGTCATGTGGCTGGTCCTCACCATGGAAGCATGGCATCCCAGGGTGGGGGCTGCTAGCAGGAGGGAGAGAGAAACTGGGGGTGGGGTGGGGGATGGCAGGGGGGCCAGGAGCTGGAGACGGGGGCCTCATTTGTGACTGAGGACTCAATACCTGGGTTCCTGGCTTCAGGGCCGCCACCAGGTCCTTGACCATTCTGGCTTCAGAGACGGTGACCCCGCCCACCACGAAGAGGATCAGTACCGGGTGGTCGCTGGGGTGCGGCCGGCTCACCTGCAAGTGGAACACCAGCAGTGTCAGGCGGGACAGGCGCACGGCCACCCTCACAGGCTCCCAGGACCAGCCACCACCCGATGACACATGTGGGGTTACAGCTTCTCTGCTGTGGGATGTGCTGGTGGCCAATACCCCAGTGCCAGGACCATGCCCGGTGTTGCCTGGCCTCGCCCCTTCAAGTAGGGTCATCACAGGGAGAAGGGTGAAAGGAGGAAGTGGCCAGGCTGGGCTCCCTTCCCTCAGGGCAGCACGCGAACCTCCAGGGCTTGTGGCCATGCAAAGGGCTTGTTATTTCCTCTCAGCCTCTCTTTCCTGGAGGCACGAAGCCCACCCGCAGTGCCCTGAGTCCCCAGCCTCCTGTGCACCCTAGGTCCAGGATAATGAGAGAGAGGTCAAGCTCTTGGGGTGGGCGCGAGGGGTGCATGAGAGGCCAGGGCCTGCTGCAGGGCACACAGGCCATGTAGATGCGGGCCTGAGCCTCCACAGGCTAGCAGAGCCAGGGACCTGCCCTGTGTGGACCTGCCCTGGCACCGTGGAGGAACCTCCTCTTCCCTGCCACCTCACCATGTGGTGGAGTACTGTCTTAGACCCAGAGGGATGACGCATGTCCCCGTGCAGATGTGAGGGGCCACAGTCCACTTGGTGGTGGGAGTTGAGGAGACAGGGTGGGCGCTGGGGATGGTGTGCTCTCTTGCAGCTGGGAGCTCACACAGGGTGATGAGGGCCAGGCTGGAGAAATGGTGGATGGAGTTCTGGGGACGGTGGCCACTCAGGAGCCCAACATGGCCCGAGGCAGGGAGGACTAGGTGGAGAGACCCCCGCCCACTCACACCTGCACACAAGCCACCCTGGGCCACAGGAGTCAGGAGATGCAGCAGGTGGGATCAGGCCAGCAGGAAGCCAGTCAGTCGCCCAGCCCCCCTCTCCTGAATGTCTCCCTTCTCAGCATCTGGCTCAAAATGACTGGGGAGGGTGATCCAGGAAGTTCTCCAAGTTATGTAGGTTGTCTTGGCTGCTAAAGAGGAATCTCACAGTGGAAAGGCGGGAGGGAGGGATGAAGGGAAGAGGAGGGAGGGAGGGGCAGGTCTGCTGGCCCTCCAGCAGGGGGTGAGTCCTGGAGAAAGCACCCCAGTTTTTCATCTTTGGAAAGCCTCTCCACCCAGCATCCCGCTGTGTCATCTCATGACTCTTGCTGACCACTTTCCTCCAGTCCATGCGCCCACACATCCCTTCTCTGTCCCACCATCCATAGGGTTGCTCCTGTGAGCGCCCAGAGCCATCAGGGTATAGGAGTCAAGGGCATGTCTCTGTCTTGGTCTAAGCTGGCTTCCCTGTGGCATCTGTCACAGCTGACCACACCCCTTTTAGCTCCCACACTGCACCCCTGGGGTGGCCCTGCCACATGCTCATCGTGAAGCCCGGAGGCCACTCCCTCAGCTTGGAATCCTGACTCCCAGGCTTGGCATATGAGCTCCTACCATGTGCGCTGGTTTGTGTCTCTGTTTTCAGCTCCTCCCTGGTTGCTGTGTGTCACGTCACACACGGCACTTGGTCTTGCTTTTGAACATGTGTTAAACATACAACACTAATGGGACACATTCACGTGCCCAGTGTACCTTTCGCTGAATAGTCACAAAGTGAACACACCTGTGTGACCACCACCCGGACCAAGATGCAGAAGGCGGCGCCTGGGACCCCCTTCCCTACCCCTCCCTCTGCTGCCCCCTCCCATCCATGCTCTGGGACCCCCTCCC